GAAGAGTGAAGCAGGAGGCATCCCAATACCCGACCTTAAACTACACTTCAGAGCTATAGTGACAAAAAAACGTGCACGGTATTGGCACCAAAGTAGACTTGCGGACCAGTGTCTATTCTTTATCCCAGGCTACTCTTACAGGAACCCATKTGATTGATCAAGAAGCTGAGGTTTAAATACAAGATGCCTACCCTGGCATTTTGGAGCCCTGTATCCCTAACTCTGGGTGGCYGRGCTACTGTCTCCTTAGAAGTCAACTATACTTTTAAATCAACTTGGTTTCGTCTGTTCCTTGTGGACGGGATCAACCTCTTCGATGGTCCCCTGCATCCCCAGTGCCGAGCAGAGCGCTGAGCTGGTACTAAGGAGCTGGTGGTGGGTGAGGGGTGGGAGGGACACGTTTCGGGGGGAACGTTCGCATTAAAGAACCAGAGAAAGCAGGAAGAAAAGTGTAAGATTTTGGGGCCCCTGAGGTATCATTTCCAGGGGAGCCGTGGGAAGGACCGGGGAAGGAGATAACCAGGTTGGAACGGATTCTGTCTCTGAACCCGTTTTTCTTCTCCTCTTGAACTTGCGGAACTCCTGTCTTGGTTTTCTTATTGCGCTCGTGGGACACTTAGAATAAGGTGGTGAGTTCGAGGCGCTGGGCACCTCGGTCTTCTTCCTGACCATGGTGGGACTGCATTGATCATGAGCTTTGGCGCTGTTACTCCGGGTGGCCCTTCTCCTCTTAAGACATCTCCCTGCTATTTCCAGATAACGGCAATGATCTTATTGTTTTCTCCTTTGGCCTCTAAATTGTTGAATCCATAAAACAGATTTCCTGAGATTGAACCATCTCTGCATTGATGGAAGGTGCCATTCTGTATTTAACTTCTACTGGATGGTTTGACTCATTGTGGATCGAATACAGTACCTTGGATTTTTCTACCACAAGGGAGATGGTCAGCACTCTATCTTTAGGTTCTGTGTGACTCTTATTTTCTAATCCCCTTCCCTTGGCTACCTCCATTAGTGGCTTTTGAACTGGCTCCTAACTAACTTCTTCCTGTTTCTCTAGGCTGATGTTTTATTCTGCTTCATTTTTTTTTCTGTGGCCTGTAGCATCCTGAATGCTAATGCTTTCCCTTCCCTAAGTTGGTCCTATAACCTTCTGTACCTGGAATGTTCCTGACCAGGGTGATGCTGTTCTTGATTGCTGTCATGTTGCTGATATTCTCCTTCTCCCCTCCTCCTCCTCCTCCTCCTGCTTTTCCTTCTTCTTTTGAGGTACTGGAGTTTGAACCCATGGATGCTCTACCACTGAGCTACACCCCCCCACACTCTTTATTTTTTATTTTGAGACACATTTCACTAAGTTGCAGAGGCTGGCCTTGAACGTGTGGTCCTCCTGCCTCAGCCTCCCAAGTAGCTGGTAGTTGGGGTGTGTGCCATTACCTAGGTGCTGGTCATGCACCTGGATAAGAGGTGCACCTTGGTTTAGATGGCACCTTGATTCTTTCAGCTCTTTCCTTTTTAATTCAGGTAAAATTCATATAAACAGGACTAACCTTTACCTATCTTAAAGTAGAGCATTCAGTGGCATCTAGTACATTCTCTGATTATATAATCATCATCTATTTCTAGTTCCAATAACTTTTCATCACTCCTAAAAAAGTCTGTACTTGTGAAGCAGTAAACCCCCTCTCTCCCTYCCACTGGCCGATGGCTAGTACTAGTCTACTCCTCATCCGTGGATTTATTTCCTTAGGATATTTTATATAAATGGAATTTTATATAAATATATGACCTTTTGAATCTGGGTACGCACACATCCATAGCAGCACTGTTCCCAATAGTCAAAAAGTAGAAATGACCAAAATGTTCATCAACTGACAAATAGATTTTGAAAATGTGATCTCTCTATACTGAGGAATATTATTCAGCCTTGAAAACATGAAGCTCAATTAAAGGAGCCTGTTTTTTTCCCTGTGGGCTTCGTGGAAGCTCACTTAGAAAACTTGCGGTTCATCTTGGAAGCAGTCCAGGGATTGCAACCTGAAAGTCAGAAGTCAGTTTTTCCCCAACAGAGAACCGAATCTCCCTCTGACCCGCTTATTTYGCTGTGGGGGACTCTGAGCTGTTGATGTCAATCGCAGTAACGTTCTGACCCAGCAAATGCCAGGCCAGCCGCCGTCACTGGTTCTGCCCACACGGCTGCTTGYTGCTCACACACGTTGGACGTGATTAACGCGGAAACCGCTTTTTCCTTTTCTAGTAAGAGATGCTAAAAACCTGGTACCTATGGACCCCAACGGCTTGTCAGATCCCTACGTGAAGCTGAAACTGATCCCTGATCCCAAGAGCGAGAGCAAGCAGAAGACCAAGACCATCAAGTGCTCTCTGAACCCCGAGTGGAACGAGACCTTCAGATTGTGAGTTGAAACCCGCAGCTTGGCGTCGGGGGGCAAGGCCGGGTCCCGGGCACCTGGGCCTGGGGGGGGTTCCTCTCTTCAACTTGTGCTTTCTTCCCACCCTCCCCCACCATCTTGACTCCTCCCTCTTCCTTCCTGTCCACCTTTCCTTTTTTGCACCTGAATTTTTGGAGTGTGAGCTGAGTAAAAAAATGAGAACTGATTTTTCAGTAGCGTTCCGAGTGCCCGTGGCGCAGGGGGCGCGGTTGTTAGGGAAGGTGGGTTGTGGGGGAAGCCACAGTGGGGCGCCACCTGTAGCACGCGGTGACAGGCTCTCAGGGGCTGAGTTTAGGATGATGCTGGCTGGGTCTGCAGCCGACTGGGCGGCCTCCCCTGACTTCCAYGGAGCCTCTTCCCTGGCCAGTGCTCCAAGAATCTGGGAGACCCCTGTCTCCATGCATCTGTGCCTGCAGGGGTTCATGACAACAGCCAGCATTTATTGAGCACATACTATATGTACTAAATGAGTCACATGATCCAACTTCACGGGCTCATTTTATTCCCCCCCCTTTTTTTTATCAGATGGGGCTTACAGACATTACCAAAAATGGTCCATAGGAAATATAAGCCACAGGCTGAATGCCTGGTTCCTTGGGGTTGGGCGGGGGTGTCCCGTCTCCTCTTCCCCTTCTCAGGATAAAACTAGGGATCATCTCTAGTCTCAATCAAGGCTGTGCCTGAGAACGGGCAGTTTCCCCCAAAGACACCTCCAGAGACCCTTTTCTCTGTCTCCTCCTCGACCCACGTGTGTGCAAACACACACACACACACACACACACACACACACACAGACTCGCCGGGTGCTGTAACTGATGTGTGTGTTTCTCACCGTGACTGTCAGTAGGATCCGCCAAACACCAGGGATATGATTAAGATATGAACCAGCGGAAGCCGGTGAAGCCGCTCCCATAGGAGCTGACCCGGGTCTTGCTCCAGTTCAGCCCACAGGCTGTCACCCAGGAAAAGCCCCCCACCCCGAGYGTGCCCTGGGGAACAGAGGCTGAGCGTGTTTCTGGCTGCAGCTTGTAAGGCTGAAAAATCTCTGCCTCCAGGTCTTGTCCTTGTGTTTCTACGCCTCCCTCCCTGGAGAGATCACAATAGGCTCCTCTGACTTCTCTGTCTTCTCTCTGCAGTCAGCTGAAAGAGTCCGACAAAGACAGGAGGCTCTCCGTAGAGATCTGGGATTGGGATCTGACCAGCCGCAATGACTTCATGGGGTCCTTGTCCTTCGGGATCTCTGAACTGCAGAAAGCTGGCGTCGACGGCTGGTAAGGAGGATTTGGCTCTGAACATCACGGGATACTCCAGCCCCGCAAAGGTGCCATGGCAGAGGGTTTCCTTTGTTGTCCTGAAAGCGCAGTGGCGCACGCCTGTCATCTCAGCGTCTCGGGAGGCTGAGGCAGGAGGATCGCATGTTCGGCAGCTTAGTGAGGCCCTAAGCAACTCAGTGAGACCCTGTCTCTAGATAAACCCCAACACAGGGCTGCGGATGTGGCTCAGTGGTTAAGCACCCACGGGTTCAATCCCTGGTACCAAAAAAAAAAAAAAAAAACCCAAAAAAACCAAAAAAGTGCAACATAAAATCAGAGGCCCCAGGTGAGGGCTGGTAGCTTAGATCAGCCTCACAAATATGTCTTGTTTGGTCCTCATCTTAAGAAAGGATCAGTAGCCAGTATTTAAAGAAAAAAAATATGGGGCTACAGGGCAGCCCTTAGCGTAGTCGAACAGCCAGTGCACCCTTTAGATAAGGCACGGGTTTCTCTTGGCCACAGACCTCACCACTCCCTCATCTGCCCCTCTTGATGCTGTTACATGACTTGACCAGACCCAGGGGCTCTGAGCACGAAGGAGCTGCATTGTCACTGAGTGTCCTTACCCGATCTGGCCATGACCAGCTGCAGTGTGTCCTTTTCTCTGGAATTTTTGCTTTGTTCTCTTTTTTATGTTTAAAAAAAAATCCTTATTCAGTATTTTCGTGAGAGGAGCTGGGTCCACCCCCAGGGCCCCTCCCAGTTATCTGATCCTAGGAGTCCGAATCCAGAGCCCAACCTTGCACGGTCACTTTGGGAAGAGTGGTGACCGGGGCTGCTCTCATTTCTTTGAGATAAATTGTCCCACTTCTGACCCGTCTCCCCTGGGACTTTTTCGGTTCCAAGTGAAAGAAAATGAAAAGTGTCCAACAGATGGAGCAAGAAGGACTGCACCCCTGCTGGCCCTCCGCCCCCATCCTTGGCCTCCATCAGCTCACGACCTCCTTGACCCTCATCCATTTGTATCACGGGCTTTCATTYAAGTGGCCCGAGTGTCTCCCAGGTCCTGGTTGCCAGGGGTGCTTCAAGGAATAGGCCAGACACGTGCTCACGGAACCTGGCTTGGGACAGGGTGGGGGTAAAGGACACCGGTAAAAATCCATGACAGCGTGACGCTGAGTCTGAAGAGCCCCGGAGCTCAGGGTGCCCGGAGAAGAAGAAACAGAAGAAGGTGCGTCCCGGGAAGCACAGTTCCCAGAGCATCATCTTGGTGATGGACGTTGGTCGAGTTTTTCCTTAGCTCAGTAATGAGGAAGCCGGCGGGGACAAACGGCGGAGTCCACAGAGGTCCCGAGAAACTGGGATTTGGATAATCTGCAGCAAAGGGAAGGCCGAAGTCACCTAAGTCACATAGAAAACGGTCTCACCAGCAGGGACCATCGTGAGCTTAGTTACCAGGCCTGGGGGGGGGGCGGGGGATGGTCCCACCTGTTTTTGTCAAGTTAACATCTCTCTCTGCAGACGGACGAGGCCATCTGGACCCGACTCGGTTGTGAATAATAAGTTAAACAAAGTAATATTACAGCGAGGAAGGAGGTACCTAATTAGAAAGTGCTTTCGCATGACATTCAAAGGTCACACAACCATCTTTTTTTTTTTCTCTCCCAAGTTTCGGATTTTTTTTTTTTTTTTTAACTCACATATGGCTGACTTGACTCTGCCCAGTTCCACTTCGGCTGACTCACCCGGGGGGTGTTTCTCCCTCTAGAAGTCAAGTGGCAAGAGGTGAAAGAGAAGACTGGTCCCACCTGGCTTTGGAGCATCAGGCTGGATCCCTGGTGGAGCCCAGGACTGGCCTGTGGACTTCCATTGTGAGGTCCCTTCACACCGTGGCCCCTGGGTCTCAGCCCCAGGTCATCGCCAGGCCCCATTATTTTGGTGTGTGGGGGGGCACTCGGCCCCTGAGCCCCACCCCCAGCCCTATTTTGTACTTTATTTAGAGACAGGGTCTCACTGAGTTGCTCAGCGCCTCACCATGGCTGAGGCTGGCTGTGAACTCGAGATCCTCCTGCCTCAGCCTCCCCAGCCGCTAGGATGACAGGTGTGCCCCAGGGCGCCTGGCACCAGGCCCAATTTGTCAGCCCTTCTGGGACCCCTCATTCCTGTGTGTCCTTCATGGAGGGCCGGGGTCGCTGCCCCAGAGACCTGCATCTCTCCCTTCCTGGCCTGCTGGCTGCTACCATGACTTTGTAGGGTAGGACTGTGGCCGGGAGCYGGGCTCCACTCTTCGGTCACTACCTCCTCGCTGTTCTCCTTCCCTGGTCCCCCAGGTCCAGAATATGCACCCCTCGGCCTCCGAGCGCGGCCAGGTAGCGAGAAAGCAATTTAAAATAATAATCGTTCACTTGAAACCACGGTCGACTTGGAGCGGTTTTGCTGCGGGAACCTTCACAGCTGCACATTTAGTTGAGCAAACAAAAGGGAAACATCAAGGACATTATAACAAGGTGGCATGAGTACGCAAAGACTGCAGGGACGGGGAGGGGAAATAAATGGCTTAATGACAGGGGCCAGCGCCCCAGGGACAGCTCCAGAGCTTAACACATGGACACTTAGGTCCTCCGTTCATTCTCCCAAAGGTTCCAGGGAGCGCGTCATTCCCCAAAATCAGAGTCGTTAGGGACACCGAGCTCCTAAGGGACAGTGATGGAGTTTGGTCTGTGATGCTGCAGCCTATGTATATATTCCGTCTCCTGACACAGAGGTGGGCAGAGGGCCGGGGGTAGAYGGCCAGGGGTTGACCTTGGCTCTCTTAACTGGATGGATGCTTTGTGACCTCCGGCAAGTCACCTCCCCTCTCTGTGCTACAGCCGTTTCTCAGCAGGAATTTACTCATCAGATTGACCGTAAGGCTCCCTCTGCACCCCGTAGGATGGTTGTCAAGTTGATGAAATAATCGGGAAGGAACTTTGACAAAATAAATGCCCTCTTCCAGATTTTGGTGATTAAAAAAAAAATAAAGTCCTCTGTAGAGTTAGGGCCGAGGACTCTGCGATGCTGCCTTGGCTCTAAAGGACCCACGAGTTCTTTGAACTCTGTGTGATCTTGGGTAAGACACGGGCCCTCTCTGAGACTCTGTTCCCCACCTGGAAGGGAAGGGGCTCCTCTATTTTGTTGTGTGATATTGTCACCTGTCACATAATGCGGGTTTGCTTCACAAAGGCCTTGGACTTGTAAGATCAGGATGGAGGTCCAACGTTCCTGTTTCCCGGAGATCCCAGCTGCCTGCAGGCGGGGACAGGCTCTGTTGATGCGTAGCCCAGGAGCCCTGGGCTAAACCCAGTGGCCCAGGAGTGCCGCAGGCTAGACCGTCTGGGTTTGTGTGCGTGCCCTCTATGATGCCCAGGGAGGTCTAATGACACGTTCCTCAGGACCTCGGGACGTGTCCTGGTGGTTAAGTCAGACATGACTATAACGTGGCAGTAACAGCAGAAGCAGCTAAGGCTGCTCCCAGGGGTGGTGCCCCTGCCCCAGGCCCCTCCTCTTTCCCAGTCTCCGCCTTTTCCCCAGTCCCTCCTCTGCCCCAGTCCCTCCTCCTCTGCCCCAGTCCCTCCTCCTCTGCCCCAGCCCCTCCTCCTCTAACCCAGGCCCCTCACCTACCCCAGGCCCCGCCCCTCCCCTGCCCCAGGCCCCTCCCCTGCCCCAGGCCCCGCCCCTCCCCTGCCCCAGGCCCCTCCTCTGTCTCTTTGTCGCTGGCGGCTCCGGCACCTGCTGTCAAATCCTCTTCTTTGTTTCTAGTTTCATTTATTTGTGCTGTCTTTCCCCTCCATGTGCCAGAGCTTCACTTGTTTTATTTATTTCTTATTTTTCCCCCAAGGAGTTAGCTGTGGGATTTGTGTATCAACCTGTCTGTTTTCTCCTTGTTTCTAGAAGTTTATCTTGTGTTAAATGAATTTCAGATGAATATTTTGCTTTTTTTTTTCTCTGCTCTTTAAAAGCAGCGAATAGTGTTTGAGAGAAGAGATCATCCCTCCAGGCTTTGGGATGTCCTACGGCGGCCTTTGTCTTAAAGTCTGTGGGGTGTGTGTGTGTGACATATTTTTTAGTTGTAGAAGGACATAATATCTTTATTTTATCTATTTGCTTTTATGTGGTGCTGAGGATCGAACCCAGGGCCTCCCCCGTGCTCCACCCCTGAGCTCGCGACCCAGCTCCCGTGATTGTGGTTTTTCATCTCTGTTTTTACTGGCTTTCCCGTTGTCATGCTGTGTGACATCTACAATTAGCATTTTTATCGCTAAATCACAGTGTTGTGGAGTCAGGGAACAGGGCCTGTGGAACTTTCTGTCTCTTCTTTTTTCTCCTACTTCCTCTCTTTCCCCGTAGTGTGGTCTCTGTGGAGTGTTGCCCTGGGGTCTGTGGACATTTCAGAAGGGAAGGCTGTCTTTGCTGCAGGGCGTCTTGTTGATCCTGCCTACTGTGCGCCTCTRCTCTCTCACGCCTCGTTATTTTTGCTCTGTTTGCTTGAGCTAAATGGATCGTGGCACTTGTTATGATTTCCCAATAACATTGTGTGTTTTCTCATTTCTGATTTTTGTTTGGTCTTGTGTGTATGTGGCAACGTGATTACCTACCTAATTCCTCAAGACTTATTATATTGACACAAAGTTTTCTTGGAAAGGACTCACAGAAAAGAAGAAATTTAGCAAAGACCCCAAGGGAGTGGGGGAGCCGGCCGTGTAGACATCCAGGGAGAGACTGTCTAGACAGAACAGCAAGTGCCAAGGCCCTGGGGCAGGAGTGTGCCTGGAGAGTTTGAGGAACAGCGAGGGGGCAGGACAGGAGTAGAGGACAGGGTGTGGGATGGTCATACGGCAGGGGTCTTTGCAAGGGCTTTGTCGTCTGCTGTGAGTCAGATGATGGGTTAGTCAGCTTTTCATGGCCCTGATCAAGAACAACTTAGAGGAGGAAAGAYTGTATCTGGCCTGTGGTTTCGGAGGTACAGTCCATGGTTGGCT